ATTGTACTTGTCACCCAGCCCTGTTCCACATGTCTGAGACTTCAGACTTACTTTTCAAGGTGGGGCTGTAATCTGACATGTATGCTAGAGGCACCACTGACCACATGTCGACAGGTCAACACAAGCCTTGAAGTCACCATCACACCAGACCCCCAGGTTGGTCCACATTCCACCAGAACCACAGCGGCTAACATCTGCTGAACCGGCCCATCTTTGGCTACCAAACCATCACGAGGCTTAGTCGCCAGTGCCATGGGGCGTAACCAGGTTTGACAAAACCAAGGGGCCCCAGCAAGGATGCTCCCGATACTTTCCAGAATGCAGTCGACGGCACAAACCAGAGTCAGACCAACCCACTCATTGGCTTTCCAGCAAAGCGGAGCGACAATGATGCCAACCAGATGGAACCCGGCTTTTGAGATTGCAAAGATGCCGCCACCTTCTGTGCCAGGCAAGCAGCGGGCGTCCGTCAGGATGAGGGCGTTGCCTTCTCCAGCAAGGTTGCTCACAATCCCTTTGCTGAGGGTATTCATGAAAATGTCAGGGCAAAATGCGCCAAAAGGGGAGCCACAGGTAATCACCGGGTCCCCCTTCCTCAGCCCCTTGGCTGGCGCACAACTCAACCATCTGGCAGCAGGGGGACGGCTGTCCAGGATCCTCAACAAGGCAAACCAGTGCAAGAAACGCATGTCATCCACAGCAGAGCCAGATTCTTGTCCAACCTCATTCCCACCAAAATGCCACTGGTTGGTAGCATTGAAGATTTTGGCAAAAGCCTCCTGGAATTGCAGGCAGGGGGCCATCAGAACCAGCTGGGCTTCCCGATGCTTCAGGCCGTTGGGCATCTTTTGCAGGCTGGAAAGCGGGTTAAACCGTAACACTGGGACACTGTCCCCCAAGTCACCACCTAGCCAACTTCTGCAAGGAGTTTGGCTGCTGCCTTCCTCCGTGCCCAGCACCTGGATTCGGAGATCTGGGGAGAAGCTCTCAGGCAGCAGGACTTTGCATTGGGACACGTGGAGGTGCTCCGGTTCCAGCAGGAAAGGGGAGAAGATGGAACCATGGCAGAGGACAATGCCCAGGTCAGGAGACAAGAGGATGCCGCTGCCACTCCAGGGCCCTTCGGACGAGGCGCCCACAGCTTCACTGCTGTCCGGGGAACGCGAGACAGTGACCACACAGCCGGCCTTCCCAGCTATCAAGCGCAGAGCCTCAGCCATCAGGGAAAGGATCCGTCCGCCTCAGCAGCCCTGGCAGGAAAAAGAAATTCAACATGGAACTGGATTGAGACAGGGAAATATAAGGAAGAGGAGTTTGGGAGTGAGACCGACACCTCTTTCGCACTGCAGAAATAAAGCACTTGGACACCACTTGGATTGTCATGGCCATACTCCATACTATGGGATCCTGGGATCTGTAGACACAGATGTGTTAGTCTGGAAAATCAATATGCAAAGAGGTCACCTTGTAGCACCTTTGAGACTAAGGGCCTTTGCAGACTGCTAGAAATAGTGCAAATTGAGGCCACTTTAACTGCCCTGGCTCAGTGCTAGAAAATCATGGGAATTGTATTTTTTTTCTGAGACATTGAGCCTTCTCTGTCAGAGAGCTCTGGTGCCACAATAAACTACAGTTCCCATGATTCCCTAGCACTGAGTCAGGGCAGTTAAAGTGGACTTAGGGGGGGTGCAGACTGCCAGAAATAGTGCAAATTCAGTCCACTTTTAGGGTTAGGGTTAGGGCTAAGGAATCATGGGAACTGTATTTTATTGTGGCACCAGAGCTCTCTGACAGAGAAGACTCAGTGTCTCAGGAAAAAAAAACAATTCCCATGATTCCCTAGCACTAACCCTAACCCTAAAAGTGGACTCAATTTGCACTATTTCTGGCAGTCTGCAACCCCCCTTAGTTTGCACTATTTCTGGCAGTCTGCAAAGGCCCTAACTGAAAGAGAGAAGCTGGTAGTGTGAGCTTTTGCAGACCAGAGTATACTTCCTCAGATGCATAGGGTAGATTAAGTATTCAGCCTAGTCTTTCTGAGGTCTAGTGCCTTGACAAACTACAAATCCCAGGGGTCTGTTGGATAGAGTGATGGCAGTTAAAGCAGTGTCAGACTGCTTTAATTCTGAAGTGTAGATGAACCCCAAGTCTTCCTATAGGAATTTGCAAAGACAGAAGTTGCAAGGTTGCCAGCTAAGCCCCTGGGGGCTCTCCTGGATCCCTCCATGTCAGTGATCTTTTGGGATCTGGGAGCTGAAAAGATTTGGGTGCAACTTACAAGACCTGGGCCTGTGCCCCACAGTAAGGCGACCCTGACAAGGTGACCAGACATCTTCCCTTTCCAGGACATGTCCTACAATTCAACTTTATGTCCAGCAGGAATTCCAAAATGTCCTCCATTTTGAGTATGACTAAGAAGCCCACTGAATAACACCACTTGTTGTTCCCCTTTGAGAAATGCATCTACCTGGCAGCTTGTCCTCACTGCAAACAAGGGGATAATAAGAAGGATCCTTGTAAAGTTATTTTTTCCTAGGAGCAGCAGCAGATGAGACTCGCACCCAGAGCTCAGGGTGCATTTGTTTCTCAGAGGGGAAAAGGACAGCAAATGTGTTGGACAATGGGCTGCTTGAGGACACAATGCAAATGTTGAAGGGTTTTCCCCCTTAATTTCAGCACAATGGACAACTGAAAGAAATAAGTGAAATGTAGATTCAGTCGAAGTACAGTTTTAAGCCTTTGTTTTGCTCAGAGTTCTAGAAGCAATATTGCAAGCCAACAAGGCATTTTAATGAAAATAAGTCCATCAGAAGAATACAACTGACTACACAACAAAATACAATATATGTAGTATATTAGTATATTAGTAGTATATGTAGTAAACAAACCATAGGGAATGAATTCATATTTATATGAGTGTTTTTTAGCTTTTATTTTGCAATCTCTGCCATTTTTCTTGAAGGCTCCACATTTTGTGGTGCTTTTGTGGTTAGGGAATCTGGCCAGGGTGGCCAAAGGTCCTCCATTTCCAGGACCTGTCCTCTATTCCAACCTCCTGTTCAGGAGGAATTCCAAACTGGCCTCCATTTCTAAGCTTGACTAAGAAGCATGAATTTATATTTCTGTTAGTGTTTTGAGCTTTTGTTTGGTAATGTCCTCCATTTTGCTTGCATACCCTTCATTTTGTGGTGCCTTGTCCTCCTTTGTGGTTAGGGCGTTTGGCCAGGGTGGCCAGATGTCCTCCTTTTCCAGGACCCTGTCCTCCATTTCAACCTCCTGTCCAGAAGGAATGTCCAAAACGTCCTCCATTTGGAGCATGACTAAGAAGCATGGATTTATATTTCTACGGGCGTTTTTTAACTTTTATTTTCTGTCCAGGAGGAATGTCCAAAATGTCCTCCATCCTGAGCATGACTAAAGAAGCATGAGTTTCTATTTCTAGGAATGATTTTAGCTTTTATTTTCTGTCCAGGAAAAATTTCAAAAATGTCCTCCATTATGAGGATGACTGAAAAGCATGAATTTACCTTTCTAGGAGTGTTTTTTGGCTTTTATTTTCTGTCTAGGAGGAATGTCCAAAATGTCCTCCA